TAAAATTACAGAAAAGGACATCTGCAATGCAAAGGCTCCTCCACGTGTTGTTATCATCATAAAAAACAATTCACGTATCCAATCAATAATCCAAGATGATTCAAAAGATTAAGAAAAATATATGTTCATACTCTTCTCTCAAAAACCTGAAGAAATTAAAAGCTTCTACAAATAGAATTGCAAAATAGACATTTATTGTAGATACAATTCAAACGGTACCAAAACTTAAGAAAATAAAGTCCATGAATTTAACTTCCGTCTTTTCATTTTCTCGAGAACCAAACAAATTTGTGGGAATTAATACACAACTAGATTAATTTGCATGCATGGCATGATGAGTGGAAATTAACGCATAAAGAGAATTCCATGGGTGAGAGTTCAAACATACCCTTCTAACGAGATGAGAAGAACTAACGAGGCATTTGGCGCTCCACAGAGGGTCATTAAGGTCCTGGCCGTGCCGTTCTAGTTCAGTTGCGAAGCCGCCGTCAATCACCGCTTGGCCGCCGCACTTCTCGAGGAACTCAGACAGGAATAACGACGTTTCGGCTCCTCCCAATCCCATGTCGGAGAACCGGTTATTAAGGTACTAAAAAATGGTTGAAAAATTATGAATATGACACTACTTGATTCTAAATAAGTAAAATAGTATAAAAAGAAAACGATCGGACACTTGTTTTTCCCTTTAGCGGTGGCGTAAGCACTTTGTGCTATCTTTCGTTGAAGCTTTTCGTATGGTGTTTTTATAGATGGAAGGTGGTACGAGAAGTCACAAATTTGTTCTTTCTATTTTAATTCAATATCGTCTTTGCCCTTTCGTATGGTATTCATTTTCCCCCCTTTTTAAAGAAATCAAATTACTTCTTGGGAATCTTATTTGTTCTCAAGAAATCAAGAGAATAAAGAAATAAAATATCCGTTTTAATTAATTATATTATTTACATTAATTATTATAAAAAAAACCTACAAAATTCAAAATAAAAATAAAAAAGAATTGAGTTTCATAACTTGAAAATTATAAAGTTTTAGTCATTATTATTATATCAAATATAGAAAACTTACAGTATTCAAAAAATGTAAACAAGAGTTGAGCTCATAATTTAAAAATCATAAAGTTTCAGTTTTTATCATTATATCAAAGACATCATTAACAGTAAAAGTTAGGTAAGTAATAAATTGAAAAATAATAAACTTAAGTATTTTTGACACCATATATATCATATTTAGGTATGACAAGGTTGGCATGTAGCCAAATCGTTATCCTTTGCTTTCGTATGAGATCTTATCATTTGGCCTCTCATATATATATATATATGGAGATAATACTTATCCACTTTATTTTATAAAGATTAAAAAAATATTATTTTAAAATTATGTTATTTTAATAAATATTCATTGAAAAAAATTAAAATATTTTATTTTTAAAACATGAATTAAAGTATTTTTGTTTTTTTTTTAATTTTTTAAAAATAAAACGGATAAATACTAACCATATATATATAAGGATTGCGTGCATGTATGAAATTGTAGTTTGGCAAACTTGAGGCATCATCTCTCTCACCCGCATATTAAGTTGGTCGAGACAGTACCAAACAGACATTTCCGGTAATCTAATGATATTAAAATGCAATGGCAATTACCAATGCTTTCCTAGAAGTAGAGATTCCGTTTTCAAATGATCAAGTCGAAAACAATACCCAATGAAATGGGATGTTCCCCTTTTGCTGAAAAGAAAGAAGAGAAGAAATGTATATCATCATTTTGAAGCATAAAAGTTTCATTGGATGGGCTTGTAGTGGGTCCTATCTACGTGCACAATCGTTGTGGAAAAGAAGCCCAAAAGTCCAGGGGCGGAGGCAGAATTTTTTTTCGGGACAAAATACTAAAATTTTCAAAATTCAAGGGAGGTTAGATAATTTTTCATATATTAATTTACAAGATTTTCAAATTTCAGGGCGAGCGCCCTCCTCGCACCCCCTGGCTCCGCCACTGCAAAAGTCCCTATGACTAGGTATTTCAAAATCAAGTCTTGGGTTTTGTTTTGGTGTGTTGTGATTATAATTATAATTTTTTTTTATCTTTTAATAGTATTTTATAATCATATAAAATGTTAATTAAAATTTTTTTAAATGTACACAATGAAAAATTAATTATATTAATTAATAATTATATATTTATATTTTAAAATAAGATACTGAGTAAAAAAATGTTTGTACAAAATATTATCAAAGAAAGCTATTAACACCAAGTTATTAATGTTTTTAATAGAAAATTTTAAGAGCTGACGTTGAGATGGAGATCAATTTTCCTTATGAGTTGTTTGTGGTTGGTTCATTCATCCAAATTATATATGGTGGTTATTACTTTGTATTAAAAAAAAAAGAAAAAAAAAAGGAGAATCAGAGAAAGGCTATTGATTGTTATTGTGTTGGAATTGTGAAGTCAAATGTGAAAAAAGAGGATGAATCCCACATCAAAAAAGGAATAAAATGAGATAAGATATATAAGTGTTTGAAGTATGAGTCACAACCGTCTCGGAGTTTGGGTTCGGGAGTTACAGAACCCGCCGGCGCTGCATCCTCAGTGGTTGGGTAGCGTGAATATTTTTAATAAAAAAATTAATTATATAATAATATAATGTATTATAAATTCATAAGATTGTCAAAACAGATACTAAGAATGCAATATATTAATTATCATTTTTTTAAAAATATATCACATAATGTTGTAATAATATTAATATTGTAATTGAAATTAGAAATCATTTATTTAAATTTTAAATGAAACAAAGCCCAGCCTTGGTTATACCAAGAAAATGAAAATCTTTGTTCGTCCAAGAGAATTCTCAAACTTAGGATGTGTTTGGTCTTGTGGAACTTTTCTATTAAACTTTTTAAAAAAATTTATTTATGTATTTTTATACATTAATATTACAAAAAAAATGATATTTAAACATTTATTTTTTTTAACACAATTCTTAACTCATAAAATTTTCTTTTCACTTATTTTGAAACAAAAAAAAAAATTATATAACTTTTTTTATATTAAATTCATTTAACAATTTTTTTTTTATGAACTTATATCAATTTCTTTAAAACATAATAATAACAACTTAATAAAATTCTACACCTGATCCTTTGGGTCAAATGACACCCTGCCAACTTGAGGTGCATTTCCCCTTTCTCCTTAACAACTTGTTCAAAAAATAATAATAATAATAACTTAAAAAAATTCTAATAAAATTTCATTATAAAATTTAACAACTTTTCATATAATATATTTTAATTTTCTTCAATACTTTTTTAATCACTTTTTCTGATAAAAACTTTCTTAATAGCCTTCTAACCATACAAATCTGTACCAGAAATTTTTGAACAAGAAAATTATACTGGTGCCTG